TGTCTTATATCGCAAACGTGTAATTATCGGACTTTTCGTGGTATTCAATTTCGTATTGATTTGTTTTTAATTTATTTTTTCAATCTGAAAATGTCGACAAATGACCTTCGTTTTACAGCTAATTAGTCTTAAGTACTTGTTGTTTACAATGAAAATTATTGCTTCTCTTGAAATAGCTAAAAACTATTTTTTGCTATTACCTTCATTAATCGGCTTTTCCGATTTTTTTTTAATATTCAGATAATAATGTAATGTAAATATGCACGTACGTATGTTGAGATCGTTGCTATACTATAGACAACTATGAAAAGGTGTGTGCAAACAGTTGTAAATGATTGATTTGTCATCATGTCAATAGCAATCGATGATAGAAGACAAGCTCGAAATTCTGTTGCTAAAATGTACATCAGTGTGGTAGAGATCAATCAGAAAAGCGAGAAAAATTGCAAATATTAGATTTGTATATAAGAAAAAAATTCTATCATTATGTGTATGTGTGTACGTGTTACTGAATGGCAAGCACATACGCACTTAAACGGTTTCCTGCCCACATCCGAATACCCGTCTTCTACTATTTTTCCCTCTTACATAGAGGTAGACATCGTTGAAAAACAACGAAAAGGAATAGAAAGAAGAAACGGTAACAAAAGCGATATTATCGTCAATAGGCAGCAAAGAGAACGAATGATCTTATAATGAAGAAACGAGAGAAGAAAGGAAATTGAGCCAACAACTCTCTCGGTATTTTTGTATGTGGTAACAGACCGTCAGTTGTTTTCATTTACCATTGTACGTTTCTTCTATCAATTACATTCGAAACACATTCTCTTGTTTATCTTACGTATTAGACCTGAGGCATCTTTTTTAGTACAATGTGTAAAGCATTTCATCTTAATTAAGAGGTACGTGTTCCATAAGAACTTTTAAAAATAGAAGAAGAAGAAAAATAAAGTTAACTAAAAGAAACCTGTGAACGGAAATATCAAGGCACAAAAAAAAAGTTCTTTCATCGTATTGGAGACGACGTTTCATTTTATTTATTTCCTCTGATTCTTTGACTTAAATGTTTCTATTATAATGATCATTTGTTCGAGAAAGAACAAATTTTATCAAAACTTTGTTAAAACACATAAAGTAAGTACAATTATTTCATAGAAATCACTATACTCTATAAATATGAATCAATAGTTAATAGTGTTAAAACTAAATTAAGGAATTATATTGATACAGATTAGTGAAATGATCATAACCTTAGTTGTTTTAAGGCTAAAATTTATATATATATATATACAACGAAGAAATAGATCTTTGCTTAGAAACAATTATTATTTTCATCATTTAATCTATTTCATCATCAAGATAGTAATCGATATTAATTCAGCACTTTTTCAATCAGGAACATATTGAGATGTGGATATCACATATACAATTGAAAAAAAAAACATTTGTGTAGTCAAGTCACTTTTAACTATTATTCGACAGATAGAATATTTTTAAAAAAATTCGTCTTGTATTAGACTAATATAAGATTTCACATAAAGATTAATTGTATGAATTCTATTAATTTGTTAGAAAAAAAAAAGATTATTATGTTTGCTTATGACTTGAAGATCTTTGACAAACAACATTTGTCTCGATTAAGTATAGTATCCAGCAACGCATAAATACTCATTAGTGTACATGTTTCAGAATTGATTGACAATATTTACCAACTGTCTATCATTTATACAGTTTCTGGTTGTTATACCTCATTGATTGTAAATTTTGTATGCTTGAACAGTCTGTTGCTATATTTAAATTTATTTTGCGAATGTTTAATGCATATTTATAAGTATTTTCTAAGAATATTTAAATAAGAGAATCAACCACAACAATGAAACAATTTCTTGTTGCATTGTATTGCTTACGATAATGATAATGATGATGTTCTTGCACTGTCTTGTTCTATTACATTAGTTGAAAATAATTCGTTTCTTTTCCTATATACTGCATGTTATTTCTTCTTTCCTTATGTTTTTTTCTCTCTCTCTCTCTCTGTGCTATAATTTTAAGCAGTAGATCTTATAAGGATAGCAAAAGAAAACTAAGGCACGTCCAATCCTTAAAGTTGTGCTATAGAACACAAAGAAGCTGCAAACATCACTTGAAAGTACATCCGTTTTCTCTCTGTCTTTATCACAAATATGACTTTCCGGTTCTCGCTCTTTTTTTTTTGTTACTGGCTGTTATCGACAGCAATGTTGACTGCTTCAAGAATGGAAAATCCCTTTCATTTCATCATCGAATAATGAGTTATAAGAAAGTCTGACATGAACATAACAATGTCTGAAAATGTATGTATAAGCAAAGATTACCATTCTATCGTGTTAGCTAATCAAATCGGAGGAAGTAAAATAATAATAACAAACTACCTCTGTTCGCTTGAATTCTTATTAGCACTAATGAAGTTGAAATAGCTTTTTTGATTTTGAATATTTATCTACGTGAAATATTTCAAGATGCACTTAAATATACCAAAATTTAATGTATATTATTGAAAATGACAGTAGATACGGAAACCGATCAATATCAATTTCTCATGTTTTTTTTTTTTTTCTTCTAAGGTAAGAAAATAGATGTTCGTGACTTTGTCTATAAATAATTTCTGTCACTTCAAAGGATTATGTCGTACTTTATAGGCTTTTTTTCTTTGATGTTATTCAGTGCATAACGAAATCTAGTCCTATAACAATAAAAGATGACTTTATTGAACATTAAGTGTGTTTTTTTATAGACTATCACAAAACATAAAATTTGATATAAAGATATATTCAAATTCATTACGCATAATTGATCACATTCAACACTTCGATTAGAATTATTATACAACGAACAAATTGAATGTAAGAAAATGTGTTGCTATTTTTTTTCTGAATAAAAAAGATTAAGCATAGAAGATTATAGATTATAGATTATTTAATTATTGCGTTGTTTTTTTCTTCTACGATCTTTAAATAGTCACATAAAGCAATATTTTTTTTATTATTGAAATTATTAGATATAGAATAACATGTAAAAAAACATGAACATTAATGTTATAGAGAAAATTATATTTTCGCATCTGATGAAAAATAAATATTGATTCAGCAAAAAAACATCATGCGACAGCTTTCTCTTCAAATATTTTATATAGGAAATGAAACAATCGAATGTGTACTCGAATAACTGGAACAAGTGATATGCAGCACTGTTTGCTTTTCGCTTGTATGTCAATTTTGCGCATACGAGAAAAAAAAACCGGACGACCAAAGTTTTTTTTTTTTTTTTAGTAGTGAATGAGAGAAAAACCTAAATCGGATTATTGTCGACTAGTGAATGAGTATGCGAGAAAAAGAGAGAGAGAGAGAGAGAGAAAAGACAGTAAGCAAAGTTCATTAGAATATATTCTCATGTGTCAAACATAGACGAGGAGTTATTTATTCCAATGACTTATTTATTGTGTTAGACGACTGCTAAGCATGACTTTATATTCATATACACGATTAGATATTAAAACGAGGTAAAAAGATATTAGAGATCATGTTTTTATTTCGTCATTAATCGCAATAAAAACATCATTCTAATTCAATATATTATATTGATTTTTTTTTCTTCCGTGTTTACATTAATAATGAATGTACTTGTTGATGAGTTTTGTTCCGGTTTATCTTTGAATATTAGTGTTAATAAAAGATTTTTTCTTGTTTTCATTGAATAAGAAATAAATTAAAAACTTCTTCTTACTCCTACGTATCTTCTATGAATACAAGATATTAGTAGAAATCTTCATTGAATACTCAAACGAGCAGTCGATGAGCATTTCAAGGTAATTAGCTAAGATTCCGATGAGTTCATAGAATTGATAATTGTTCGTCCATTATTAAGACTTCGACTTATTTGTAAAACAATGTTCTGAGGGATCAGTCTGAAATTTTGACACTCTCGAATAGCCTATCTACGATGAATTTCAGCGAGTAAAATCTGCAAAGTTCTGAACAGTCGATACTGCGATTCTTGAAGCTTTTTTTTTTTATTTCCTAGGGAACATACATACTTAGAACGATGAAGTTTGTGTGGATTAGATAAACTTAGCATGACATTTTAATCATAGATAAATTTATATTTCGTCATGCAATATAATCATTATAGGTTAAATTCAGTTATCTTAGCTTTCTCTTTTAATATATAATTTTGACAACTTTTTTTTTCTCAGTAAATAATCTGTGAATAGATTTTTATTATAAATAATTGAGAAATCAAATCTATCTATTATAAATTTCGTTATATCAAATAAAATATATATGTTTAAGGATAAATTATGTTATAAATTATTTGAATAAAAAAACAACAACAAATAGTTAAAAAGCAACAGATTCAGAATAACGATAAATCTTATTTAGTTGATCTATTTAAGATTCGGATATTTAATTATTCTAATAGTTTCGCAGAAAGGAAAAAAAACCAAGCGAACAATTCTAAAGTATTCTATCGACTAGTTCATCGTTATCAACTATCCAAACGATCTATCATTGTAGTTTAACGCGTATAAAAACATTATGAAGAATACAAAAAATTAATAGTTAATTATAGTTCTAGCTTCAGATAGGCAATATGTTTATTTATTTATATATTCAGAGTATATAAAAATTCGTCCGATAATATCATTGAATCAAAGATTTTTTTTTTTTTCGATGAGTTTTCCACTCTTCGACAAGCCGAAAATAAATGAACGATAGAAAAATATTTCCGCGGACTCGATATTCAATGGCTATCGACACTTGAAAAGAACGAGAAAAAAATGTTTCTTTTTTTTTTCTTAGCTTTCCATCATCCATCATTGACTTCAGAAGGCCTATTGAGATAGAATGCATACTGCGTTACATGAAAAAAATTTTTTTTATCTATGTTACTAGACAATATCTTTTATTTTATTGTTTCTTATTTTTTAGATTTATATGATGATCATATAAATTATCATAATTATGACTAACAATAACAGTAGTATTACGTTGCATCATTCAAGTGGAAAAAATTTAACTGTTTATATATGTATTCATCTGGTGATGCCATGTGCTGTTGCTATTGGCATTATTGGCAATCTTTTATCTATACTAGTATTTGCACGTCGTGAAATGATAAAATTTTGTGTATCTATATTTACAATTGTTCTTGCAGTTAGTGATATTCTTTTGTTAACTACTTCATTATTTAATATAATATTGCCGGATTTTCGTGGTAGATCATTGTCAGATGAATCGGTATTTTGGTGGTATGTAATGTTAGACTGCCCTTATATCAATAGTTAATTAGTATACTTGAAAACACCTATGATGTTGTTTTTTCTTCCTCCGTAGAAAAATTTTATATCCTAAGGATAAATACAATATTGAATATTAAATTAAAAGAGCTTTTGAACATTAAAATGAGCGGATATTGCGTATGTTAGTTTTTTTTTTTTTTGCAAGAATAAATTTTGTAAATTATTGAGAAAAAGTGCATATAGATAAAAAATTCTATAGAAAATAATAATAAATATTTATCATATTTTCTTTAGTCATTTTCATGGTTATTTTGATCTTCTATTTGCTTCAGTAAGTGGTTATTCCGTTGTATTTATATCAGTTGAAAGATGGTTTTCTATTTGGAAACCATTTGAAAAAGCACAATATGTTACATTTAAAACAACATTAATAACTGTTATCAGTTATATATTAATATCAATATTTGGTTTCTCATGGTTTCCATTTACATTAAAATATAATCCAAATTCACTTAAACCTGAAGAAGCATGTGGATTATCACAACCAACTGTATATAAAATATTTGGAACTATATCAGTTATATTTACTTATATTGGTAAGAAGAAAAACAATATATATATATATATAATTTAAATTTTATTTATTTATTTTATTTTTCTTAGTACCATTCTTTTTTCTTGGTATACTTAGTAGTCTTATTGTTTATCGTTTACATACTCGTCAAAATACAGTAATACAACGTTCAATAATGCAAACAAGTAAAACATTTAGTATTGATTCATCATGTGGAACATCATCAACACGAAAAAGACAACAAAAACAACGAAATATTGATCGAAATATAACATTTATGTTAATTGTTGTTGCTATTGCTTTTATGGTTATGACATTTCCATATCAGTAAGAATGAATTTCAAAATAGAAAAAGAAAACAAATAATTTTTTTTATTTATATTTTGTGTGGTTTTTTTTTTCCTCAATAGAATCTATTGGTTTTATATGCAAATTCGTCAATTGACTGGAAAAAATACAACTTTAGTTACATTAACACAAACATTTCGTTATTTGAATTGTTGTTGTAATTTTTTTCTTTATTCAGCTACATCATCATTATTTCGTCGTGAATTACGTGAAATATTTCAATGGACACATTCATTACAATCAAATAAAAAAAGTATTACTATTCATGATGATCAACAATCAAGACGATTTTCAACTGTACCACTTGGTTCACTTCATAAAAATAATATTCCATCTGAACAACGAAATCTTTTATTATCAACAAAAACACAAACATCATTAACAAAAACAACTGTTGAAAATTTGAATCTTCGAGATTTAACAAATGGAAATACGACTTCGTCTAAAACATAGTTTATTTTATTGATTGATGATTTCTATTTTGTATTTATTCATTAAACAAATATGTATAAAAATGGTCTAAAAGATAAAAAAAAAAAAACATGAGAAATTCATTATTTAATTTCCAATATATCTTGTTTATGGACGGGAAAAAATAATATACATATATCTGACATTGAAAAATTGTAGAATATTACGAACTATAATAAAAACAAAAATTAATCATTCGTCGTTGTGTCATCATTAATTGCCTAAACAAAAAAAACTGCTTTTTAAGACGATAAAAAGTAATTTCCTGAAATAAATCATGGAAATAATAAAAACTCAAGATTTGTTTTGTGTTTTGATCATTGACACAAGTCATTCATAATAGTATGAAAAATATAGAAAAAATGTCATTCTTAAATATGATTGATTATATAATTAAAAATAGGTTTCGCAATAAATTAAGAAATATTGTATAACTTGTTTATTCTATAGAGTTTATATGTAAAAACTCTTGACATAATATATTTATTTAATCTTCGATCATTTGCAGGTGATCGAGTAGAATCACAAGTCGGCAGCTAGAATGAGAATTTCAAGTTCTGTTGAAACAAATGTTTAGAAGGATTTTTTTTTTCGACTTAATATTGATTCATTGTATGCAAATTTTGGATTGAACAAAAAACGACATCGATACTGGTGGAACTCACATATTAAAATGTGAGTATATCGAGCTCTACTTCTCATTACAAAATAGTTTCGTTGTTTACAAAGAGGTAGTACGTCGTAGATAGAAACGATTACTACCTTGATCATTATTCAATGAATAAATAACTATATATATGATTATCGTACGACACTTTTATTTCAATTGGACTAGTTTTGAAATTGTTTTTTATTAGATTATTGATATATCTACTAAATTATCTCTTAGGTTATATAGAGTATATGAGTTCCATATTTTAATCTCTAAGGAACTGTGCTGATAAGCTTGTTTTTTTATTTTGATTACAACAGTCGCAATTCTAACTATCAGAACAGCTTTGTATACATTAATATATGGAGTGAAATAGGTTCTACACAATGTCCAGATTATTTCTTGTTTTATATATTGCTACAAAAGACTCAAATCTATTGTATTTTCGACACTGAAATTCGAAGAAATCGACATCATTTTCTTGAAAAATATAATCTTGTGTAAAGAGTAGTAACTCTTTGAAAAATGTTTTGTAGTTTTTGATTCTTTTGTTTTCTAGCTGATTGTAACTTGTGATACTTATGAAAAAATGTAATATTTTGCAACAATAGAAAGTAAAAGTTTAATTTGCTTGATATAAACAACATTGTTTTATTTATTCAAATATTTACTCACAGTTAAACGATCTTAAATCAAACAAAAAATAAAATTCTGAACATATATTTAATAAAATGATGAAATTTTCATTCTAACAAACTATTTTCAATTCTCTCCAATAATTTGTACGTAGTTGAAAACTGAACAAAAATATTATGCAAAGATTTTTACACATGAATTATGAATATAGTTTCATTCTCGAACTATTAATGAATTGAATTAAAATGAAAATTTCTTCTTATGATGTTAATAAATCATCCTATTTCAAATATTATCTGATTGACAAAAACATATGAGTAGAAGGCTTTTGTTAGATAGGGAATATCTTTGTTAATTCTGAATGTATGAGACATGAGAGTCAATTTGAATTTATAATTTTATTAATATTATTTTTAAACGTGAGAATGCATAAACTAATCATATTCAAACAGTATCAAGAGACTTAAAAAGAAAACAGTAAATCAAAGGAAAATTTATTTTTCATCACGAAATCTAAAAATATAGATTGTACTTTGTAACTTAACCTACTTCGAGTTCACGTAATACAAATCTTATACAATAAACATTTGCTAGACGAATAAAATCATAAAAAGAGTCATATTACATTAAGTACCATCAACAGCTGATACAATTTATAATAGTATATCATATTTTTTTTTTTTGAAAAGAAAATGATTTTTTTTGTCATATTCATAGTGGCATCTATTTTATTAACAACACATAAACATAGAATATGTAAACGAATATCACATAGTTCATTATACCAACGATCTAATTTTTTATAGATAATCTTTCGTGTTGCATCAAATATCTTTTTATAATGCAAAAGAGCAAAAAAAACAAAAATTTTTAATTATTTATGATGAAAACAATAAAATCATAATACAAGCGTGTGCATGATGAATATTATCAAATTTCTCTTGACCAGCTTAAACATAACAAAACTTTTATTAGTATATCAAAATAAATTACATAACGAATAATTGGAAAGTTTTTAGACAAATTTGAATACACTACTCTTTTACCAAAAAAACATACAATCATCATGGAAATGGAGTACTATAATTTAATTCATTCAGATTCAATAAAGTGGTGCCGTCGACAATATAGAACGACGGAAACCTTTGCGCTATTATGTTTCTGTTTTCTGTATTTTTATACAACAGTGAAAATAGTAGAAGAAACAATTGGTGTTTGTTAGCAATAAAATGAACCGTAAAACGCATTGATGAATTTCAATAAAATACGGCGTTTTATAGTCTGTTTCGATAGTCAGAGTGATCGCTTGGGACAGTCGAATGGCATGCGTCGATTCTTTTTTCTGAGCAAAATGTAAAAGAGCAGGTGCATATACTTTTTATAAACACGCTATTATATGCAATTTTGTGTATTACGCACATCTATCAAACTAATGATAGGGACAATAATGTATCTAAATTGCACATGTACTCACTTGACATTAGAAATATTTAACTTAAAGAATTTTTATTTTATTTTTTTATTTTCACGATTTGACTAATCATTTGATTTCCGATAGATGTCACTTTTTCGAATTTTTTCTTCAAAAATTTTATTCTTGATTCATTGTTATATTTTCATTAAATATATTATATTTAAAAGTAAAATTTTCTATTTTAAATTAAGTCTTATTTCTTATTGGTTTTTCAATGTATGCTATAATATAAGTCAATTAGCTTACTCTTTGCCTAATGTTCCAAGAATAGGAACAGAAGCAGGAAGAAAAACAATAATTGGCGGTGTAACGATGTAATACGAAGTTCTATTTATTTCTTTTTTACATAAAAATATAAATGTTAAATCTATAAATATATATTTTTAAAAAAAAATGACTGAGTCAAATGAAACAAACGTCGATATTGACGGTAGAGTTTTTGACTTTCTAATATAAAAAAAAAAAGAAAAGATAATGTTCTTATTTTGTAGAACAAGAACAATTTCGTCAAAAATTATTATGGACCGTCAAACGAGAAGTAAATTTTTATTGATTTAAAAAAAAAAATATTTTTTTTTTTGTTGTTAGGTTAAACATATAATGGAAGAAGCAGTGATGAAAAAATGTATTCATGAAGAAAATTGTAGTGTAACAACACTTTCTAGTAAATCATTTTCAATTCATATTTGATTTACTTTTTTTTTTGTTTCTTTCATTATTTAGGTGCTGTTGAAACATGTCTTTTACATGGTCTTAAAAGACGTGCTGTAGGATTATTTAAAACAAGTACAACAATGGCACTATTACAAAAAATTGCCAAATCTTGTCCGTCAGCAGCTGAAGTTGTGAAAATTATTGATAATGATAATCGTCGTAGTATAGAATCAACCAGTATATTTAGTTTTTCAAAGTATGATGAATAAATTATAAACGCACAGTTCTTATTATAATAAACTGATATTGAGTAGCTATTCTCCATTCTTAGTACAGACATATTATATTTCAGAAATATTTCACTGAAGTTCACAATTATATCGAGTTACATCTTCGAAAATGACATTAGTTGTGATTTTGATAAAGATAGAATATTAATCAGAACATCGAAAATTTTGTTCTCATCTGAATTGTATTGTGTTAATTGAAGGGTAATATGTTTTTCTCAATTCTATATAATAAAAAAAAAACAAGTCTTCTAACTTATCAAAAGATTCGATTTGAAAGCGATCGGAAATACTTGTTGGTCATGATCAGGAAGGAAGAGTCTTTCTTCCTCTAAATTTAAGATATGAAAGGTTTATTATATCTATGTTCGTTTCATTAAAAGAAAATTATCAAGTATTGAAGATAATCGACATCGATCAATTCGTGCAGCTATGTATAATCGTTATTTATGGATTCGTATAGCACTTATGCATCGATTACTTTATAGAATTGTGGAATATATTGTTAATAATAGTTCGTATGTATATCAAAGTTTTTCCTTTCTTTTCATTTTTAAATTTCAATCTCTTTCAGAAAATATTATGAATCATATGCACTTGTTTGTAATTCTGTTCAAGGACAAATTTTTGCTTCATTACTCGGTAAATATTTAAAAATAATAATTTAATTTTAATCTAATTATATTTTTGTAATAGTTGGTCCATGTGCACTTGAATTTACTGGATTAAAAATATCTGATCATCTTTGGATAGATTCTAATACTAATGAACTTGTACAACGTCATCGTATGCATACGAATAATCGAACATCGACTAATTCAACAACAATGATGATGCATGTAAATAATTCTCAATCACCTAAATTTCGACCAAGATTACAAGTAAATGTAAGAAAAATAAAATAGAAAAAAAAAAAGATTTATTCGATTTAAATACATATATATATATATATATAGTCAAAACGTCATGCAAGTTCATCAAGTGAAGATTCACAACGAAATAATCAATCTTTATCAATATCAACAAATCCAGCAAAAGATTATGTTGAATCACTTCATCAAAATGCTAGATCACAATTGATTTATGGAAAAAATAATGTTCTTGTACAACCGGTAAAAACAAAATATTTATTCCGTTGATAATTGAATCAATATGTTGAAATGTTTTCATTTGTAACCTATACTTGAATATTTCTTCTTTCGATCAACGGCAAAAATCGTTTTTTCTAAAAATACTAAATAAGTAATCTATTTAAACGGATGCAAATTCTTTGAGTTCGAAGTTCGCTTAAGAAAGAAATCTCTTCAAGTATTTCTTCGTTTGTGTTCATCATCCGGATAGTATGGAACTACAAAAATAATTAAAAAAAAACACAGTCATTTTATCTGAACATTTCAAAACACTAGAATGAAATGACATAGGTTCATAGGAAAATTCGTTCTTGTGATTTTGAAGATAAATCAATATCAAAAGATTAAAATCTAGTAAAATGGCTATTCTTTAATTCGACAGACGTCTCAACTTAAATCGTATCAAGGTCATTCTAGACTTGTAACTTTCTATTTATATCTAGGAAATGAACTTATAAGCTAGAGGGCATTCTCTTAATTATTTATTAAACCAAATCGAATCTTATAAAAACAAGAATTCTTGAATGTCAACTAATGTTATTGTTATGTCTAACATTCTAAAAACAAACTATATCTATTACCAAAAATATATTTTTGAAGCAACACAATGTTTCCTTTGTTGAAGAATTATTTTTTAAGAGATTTATTCAGTTAATCTAATATGATTTTGAATTAAAAGTTTTTATCATCATTCAATTTCTGCTCTTTTAAATTTAAATCTTATCAAAAACAAAAGACATTTAATAATATGCACGAGATAAATCAATCGAATCTATCCCTTTGTAAACATATTAGTACGATCCTTGCAGGATTAAAATGTGAAATACGATGTACCTACTGTTATCTGTCACAAGGAGATTGTTTTGTTCTCTCTCTATTTTGAGACACATTGCTTTACCATGTTTTACTTAATCCTCCAAACATGCAATAAAGAAAATAGTTGATATATTATAATGAGACGACATTATTCATATGTGGTTTGTGACGTTTCCATGGTTACGCTTGTCAAGGTGTTTTGTTTTTTTGAGGAAGAAACATCCAAACTTTTCCTCCTATACTTCAAAACACCTTTTAGATCGTGTTTCACAAAAGTCTATCATAAACGTGAGTTTTCCTCTAACGAGGGGACGTTTTCAACTAATCAACTGCGTTGTCACCGAAAGCCAGTGGATTGTAGGCTATTGGCCATGCGCTTATGTCAAATATAACCATGAGAAATTCCCTTAGGTCTTTATATACTGGTTTTTCAGACTAACAAAATTTTCGCCAAAACTTTTTTGGTCTATTCAGATTACATACCATATCGAAATGTCTGAAAAGAAGTAACTTTTCTGCTTCAAATCGTTGTTTTTTTCTGGAGGAAATAGTCGATAGTCTACAATCCATTAGATTTCGATAAGAAAGCGATTGAACAGTTGAAAATAATCTCTTGTGTGACAAATTTACTCTTTGCATCTGTTGAATATTTCTTTTATTTTTAGATTCCGGGTTATGATCCTATACCTGGTTATCTATCATTACATCTTGATCAAAATGGTTTAACATTAAAATGGACTCCAAATCAATTAATGAATGGTTGTAGTAGTGGAACAAAATCATTAAAAAGTAATTCACAAGAAACAAATTCACTTGATAGTCATAGTCCAATAGATATTTCAAAAAGATCCAGGTTTATTAATTTATTTAGTATTCTATTTATTAATTAATTTTCTATTCATTAGTATTCTTTGGGATTATGCTATATCAGTAAATATGTCTTCAATTGTTTATCTTCATTGTCATCAACATGGTATAAAGCAAAAAGACTTGTTTTTTTTCTTTCTATTTGTTTGTTTTTTTCTAATTTAAGTTGATGGTGATCGTATTGTACTTGTTGGTTGTGATGGTGTTCAATATCCTCCATTACATATAAAAGATAAAGGTGGTCATTTATTAGCATTTTTATCTTGTTTAGAAAGTGGTTTAGCATCATATGGTCAACTTGATCCACCATTATGTTTTGAAAAAGAACAAGGTTAGTCGAATTGTTTAATATATATAGAAAACCTAGTTATTATGTTCGAATCTATATAAAAGAATTTCAAAAATATGATGAATATTTTATTTCAAACAATAATTGATATCACATATATAAATGATATATTGTTATGTCATAGTTACTCTGATTTTGAAATTCTATAGGAATTATTTTATTATATAAAGAATAATTTCAAATTTGAACTTTTCTAGGAAAAGCTTTTCCAAAATTATATCGTCGTACTGAACGACAATTTATATTATCAAATACAAATAATGATGATACTAATATACAACATAATATTGATATAACAGATGATGATACATTATCATCAAATGGCGATTATGTTTTTCGAATTAT